ATGGATCGGATGACTATACCATATAGCTGCCATATTAACGGAACGATCGGAGTAAAGTGCTTGCATGGAACATTTTTTTATTTGACGAGGTATCTTCACGAAATTAGGCACGAGTTATTGCTTAAGGCAACAAATTATTCTCCACAGAAATTGGTCAGATCAGATCACTATATCATATAGCTGCCATACAAATTGAACGTTCGGAATCAAGTTCTTGTAAGGGGCCTTTGTTTTTGTGAAGGGTATTATAGCTTCGGCGCAACCGAAGTTAACGTTTTTTCTTGTTTTTAATTTATTATTTATTGCTAATTTCATTCAATTTATTATTCAATCAACAATTTCTGTGAAACCGAACTCTACAGTGAGTGCACATGCATTTCTTGAGAAAAACGAATTGTCATCAAAAAACCAAAAAAAAAAAAAGATAGAGACACTAGAGCTAATATTAATAGCAAAATTAAAAATATACTTTGATTACTTAGAAGAAAATTGTGTATAACTATTTGTACGGTGATAAATAATATTTGTTAAAAAAAGTTAAGTAAAACATTTAAAGTAGTTTAAAATTGTTCCACAATTGTGACCTACCTGAGAAACAAACGGCTTCCTCTCTAAAAAAAATAATGATATAATAATTAGACCAATAGAGTTGCTGTAATTTTGACAGCTCGTGGCGACCATGTTTGTTTACGAATTTGTGTCAAATTTTGTCAGTGTGTTCAGTAAGGTTGGCAATTGCATCATGTCACATTTAACTTCGGTATAACGCTTGGTGCAGGAAATACTATTGCAGCACCAAAAATTAAGCGTTTGGTGCGTATTGCGGTATGCTGGCAGCACCGCACCTTATTTCTTTCGTAATGAGGCAAGACTTGCCGTTACCATCAATAGCGAGCATTATAACACTATGTTGACCAACTTTTTTTTCCCGGAATTCGATAAAATCGTCTCGAAGGATGTATATTTTCAACAAGACGGTACGCCGCCTTATGTTTCACATCTAAACATGGACACGTTGCGTTTGGCGGCTCGTTAAGCTCGAAGGGTCATCGAAAATTGGCGTAAGCGAGTGGAGATATGCAAACAAAGCTTTGGTGGCCATTTGGCCGAATCATTAGAGGCATAAAATTATTTGCATAACAAAAACATAGAACTCATTTTAACCAAACTGGTGTTTTACATTTTAACATCACCTCGTTCTCGTTGGTAGACCCTGTATAATTAACATCGTAATTATTTCGTAATTAAGGGAATCAAAAACTGCTTAGGTATTGAATTATCTTGTGTCTATAACTTTCTACCGTTAAATTTCTCTAAATAATAATTTTTTGGAATGCTTCCAAGTTGACAGTTCTTGAGCGAAAAAAATCCAAGTTCGATGCGTTTACGTAGATCCGACTGTGGTGAGAACGAGCACCCCGTCTCTCTCTCTCACTCTTCGCATTTTTGACTTAGTATTATATTAGAAATAAGTGAATAGTTTTTATACCCTAAATAGAAAATATTAAGTTTTCCAATAGATTTCAGAATTATTTAACCTTGTAACGCCTACACTTCTACGCTTTTTTGAACTTGCTTATGAAAAACTTGTTAAAAAGTACTAAAAATAAATGTCTTCAGAACATTTCTCAACTGTAACTCCACTCACCGTCGGTATGTTACGAGTATAGATTTTTATGTTTGTCAAAGTGATTTTGCTTGCTGGGTTGTCGATTTTGTGTGGGTGCACACGTGTCTGCAACTTGGCCTTTGCCAGCGCATGCATTGCTACTATCGCATTGCGGTTGCAAGCTGGCGAACGAGAGACGAGGAAAATCATAAAATATATCGACCGGATGTAGTGGTGCACAATAGTCAAGATATAATGCGCATTACATAGCCAGTTGTGTGGGTATGTAGTGCAGTGGTTGGTATTTATGCATATATATAAGTGCGAGTGTGCGTGAGCATGTGCGTGTGTGTGTGTATGCGAGTGTATGACTTACAAGAGCAATTCGGTTTGCACTTGATAGCTCGAAATTGGCCAGTTTAGTTACGAAAGTTGCACATTTTGTGCAGAAACCGGAAATTACAAGCCAACAATCTGACATACATAACTGCAGGTGTGTTTGTTTGTATATATATACATGCTATGTATATGTATTAAGAGATAAAGGCAGCATGTAATGCTTACCTTTAAATTCTGTTAAATATGTTGACACGCTTGTACCGAAGGTAGAAAGTTGCAGATTGCATTAAATATCGTGTAATGTATATGTGTGTGTGAGCTTGTGGCATCCATGAATGACTGTATTTGTATTATCTCGCATGACACACACACACACATACATATATGAACATGTATCTGCGCGCTTACAAAGGTCAACACTAAATGGGCGTTTTTAGCAAATGGCAGCAGCAGCGACAGCAGAAGCCTACATTTAGGCGCTGGAAAATTATGTTGATTAAAAGCATTTCCAGAATCATTGAAATTTATGCACACTGCCACATATTTGCTTACGTGCGTTTGGATATATATGTGTGTGTGTGGGTGCTTAATACACCGAATATACGGCGATTAGTTACATGTGTCTGCATGCATACATATTTGAGTGAGTGTGTGTTGGCTGTTTGTTCACCGCTCACGTCTGTTCCCATTTTCTCATTACACAGTTAGATGTGTGTATGTATGTGTGCCATAATGCCCGCCAGCTACAGCGCGTACTATTCAACGATTGGTCTCTCCCAGCAACACTGCAATCGACATGGAAAATAAGGTCGCCGCAATGCTAACGAAACACAGCGACGGCTGCCACAAGGACATTGAACATATAGCAAATAAAAATTGCGCAAAAAAATCATCGCAATAGTTAGTAAAAATGTTATAATGAAATCGTGGCACATGCGATTCGCATAAATTTGCCACGCCGTAAGCGTTTGCCAGCAAATGAGTTTGAAAATTTTCAATTAATTTTTTCAGCATTTTCCACATTTTTGGCGTTTTATATTGTTGTTGTTGTGCTCTATTAAAATCGTAAAACGTCAAAATTTATTATAAGCACGTGGATGGGAAATTTATTAGAGCGTCATTAATGCCGTTTTGGATGTGTCAGTGTGTTTGTGTGTGTGTAAGCGTGTATTAGATAATAAATACGCTCGAAATTAAGCGCAAATTTGGCAGTTGGCTGAGTAGCAAAGTGGCCCTTGGTGGTTGTTAAAAACCTGTAGGTTCGCAATTTATTGTTAGCAACAGACGTGGCATAATAAAAGAACATTGCGAAATAAAGTTTAAAATAGTTTTTTTGATTATACCTGAAACATATTTTACACCTTCTTGCTTTAATGCATTCAAAAATCTATTTTTGTATATAAAAAAATTTTAAACTGGTCCACACTACCAAAATACTTACAAAAACTGCCAATCTGCTTCTTTAAATTATTTTTTGTTATTAAATTTTCTTTATTATTAATTCCCCTTTTTAATTGACATAACCTTAGCAATATAAATAATTAAAAAAATTTGTGCAGCTAGCAACACTATAAACATTCTAAATGTAAATATCTCAAAATTCCGTTTTTTACTGGTGTACTCAATATTTTTTATGTAAAGCGCGCCTTAAATTTGTTTTACTTAGAAGTATGTGGCAGCTCTATTAAAATTTACTAATATATTACATAATATAAAAACTCAAAACTCTATGTAATTGCAGTGTTATATAATTTTTTATTATTATATTGTATTAGTAGTCAATATTTATATTAACAAAACTACGGCAACCCTGCTAAGACAATATGTTTATATACATATAACGTTCAGTTTATTATTTTTTGATCCTAAAATAACTTTCATTCTAAAAATAAAATGTCTCCATGTATAACTTATAATTTTTTTAAACTGTGGCAACTCTGAACAAGATATAGGCTAGTATCAAAGGATTGCACACAAACTTTTTGCCGGTTTACCAAATATTATTTTTTGTCAAAAGTCAATGCTACAAAAGGTGGGAACTCTGCTTAAACATATGATTTCACAAAAATCTTTTAAAAAATATATTATACTTCAATTATTTTCGAAAAACTTAGCACACTTAAATATTTAAAAATTCGAGTTGGGCTTTATCTTTATGTCCTTCCATGTCACTACAATCATAACCAACCTTAAAACCAATATTGGCTGATGGCTTTATAAAGCTGGCATTTTGCATATATTCTCCAGATTTTATTAATCTCGAAAATATTTATCAAAAGTTGAATGGTTAGCTGGTCAACGCCTACTTAGCTTCTTTCATTCGAAAGATACAACCTTATTATTAAGGATTCAAGCTCTTCCTTAAGGCACTACGATATTCTACGAAACTAAAATTCAACATTTATTATGGCAATAAAACTACTCGACAGCTATGAAAAAGAAGATCTGGATTTCTTTCCTAATCAAAAATTAATAGAAACGATCGAGGTCTACTCAAATTACAGCTCTTTCATTGCTGGGATCGAATAAAAATATTTACAGTATGGAATAATCGGATGTAGCCCGAAAGCTTAATATTGTATCCCACGAAACACTCAGTGAAGGCCGTGAAGTCTTCGAAAACTTCTCACGATAATATCAAAAAAGTTATACATTGCTCGAATGTCGTCGTGTTGGGAACAGCGAGATAGCAAATGATCTAAACATCCCTTATGGATCGACTCAACACATTTTGGTTAATGTTTCGGGTATTGAGGGGGTATTCTGGGGTAGAATTTCAAAAAAATCGATTTGTTTTTCATATTTTCAAAGTTTAACTATTTAATAATATGTCTACGGGAGGATTTTTGAAAATTTAAATTATTTTCGGAGATAAAGATATTTTACTGACCCGGAGCCTCCAAACTGGTTCGGCTGGGTCTAATCAAACAAAAGACTTTACGTGACAACTTCTACAGTAATAATAGATTTTCTGAAATTTTTCTAGTTTCTTCATTATGTTTACCATTCTTCCAATATCTTATATTAATTATTATATATCGTTTATTTACAGGGAAGCTCTTCCACAGTACCGCCACCGCGTACAGCCTTCCCTGGTGCACCACCACCAACTTCAGCAGTCGCATTAAAGGGGGCCCCCAGGCCAGCTATGACTAGTCCAGCAGCAGCAGGCGGCTTAGCAGGTGCTCCGTATCGCGGTGCCAGTTGGACACCACAGGGTTACGCTCCAGCTGCCGCTGCAGCGGCTGCTGCCGTCGCTCAACAAGCCTATAGATATACAGCTCCATTGCCGCAACCAGCTTACGCGGCCTATACACCGCATACAGCAACAACACCAGCAACAACTACGGTAAGTGAATTTTTTTTTATAAATTTGTTCAAAAATATTTTTAAAGGTACAGGATGTTATGGGGGAAAAACTCTATGAAATAATTAATTACTACATGATAAAAATTTGTATATTTGCATTGTATATTAAGTTAGTTATTAACACCCAGAAGGAGACTTCGGAGCCCCTATAAATATATATATGTATATACAAAATATGACGAGCTGAGTCGATTTAGCTATGTCCGTCTGTTCGTTTGTCTGTGTGTTTGTCCGTCTGTATATACGCGAACTAGTCCCTCAGTTTGTAAGCTATTGATCTGAAATTTTGCATCTGTCCTTTTCTCACTAAGAAGCTGCTCATTTGTCGGAACGGCCGATATCAGACCACTATAGCATATAGCTGTCATACTAACTGAACAATCGAAATCAAGTGCTTGTAAGGAATCTTTTGTAATAATTTTACTACAACATTAAACATATATATTTAATATTTGATCCTTTTTCTCTGCGCTAAAAGAACTGCTCTGGGTTAAAAGGCGCTTGAAAATTCATAAGCGGTCTTATTAAAATTTACTCCACCGAATTATTGCTACAAAGGGCAACTATTTTAATTCACACACATACATACATACATACACATCTACATATTAAAAGTTGAATTGAATACTTTCTTTCGTTCGCTGCATTCAGCTCACATAGATATTAATTCTCAGTCGGTTTTCTGTACGCAAGTACATACTTACGAGTCTCTACATATATATTTATTATATGTGTGGGTTGCCATTGTGGTTCGCTGCAATTTCGCATAAATATTAAAAATCATTTGACCGAAAAAATCCATATGCTAACAAACCACCAACAAATTTATAGCAATAACTCTATGCATACACAAATACATATATACATAAATACATATGTTCATATGTATGTATATATTACCCATATAAATGAACAATATTCAGTTTGGAAAAGTTATAGTATTGCGCTGTTTGTTGCCATTCTGACGTTGCCAGCTGACGGCGACCGAAAAACAAGCCACGGCTGAATATACAATATATTAAAAAAGTTTTGTCCAACACCTACACAGACATAGCGAAAGCAATTTCTCAAGCTCAGCGCCAGCAGTGGCGTAATTGTGGGCGGCGGCATTTAAGGAAAAATATTTGTAAATTTATTTACTACTTTGCCGAACAATGTCTAGTGACTCGCAAGGCGGACCGGAGCCGGGGTAACTTTATTGGATATACTTATGTTTTTGGAGAGAGAGTCGGTACGAGCACAATTTCAAAGATTTTGTGGATCTACAACCCTGTATTTCTATATAGTGGTGGGCTTTGAGGTTCACATATAAATATCCTGTAAAATAACATAAGAAACCCAGTATAAAATATGATTGAATATGGATCTATTATGTTCCAAATGGCCGGATTATAGCAAAATCTTTAAAAAAGCATAAGAATTGCACAGTGGAGGAAATCACTAACACGCGATGGTCAATTAATGTCGCTTCACCTTATTTTAATTAATAACACTCTCCCTCAAACAATAACTGCTTTTTTGGATCCAATGCTAACCAATGAAACTAGTGAGAATTTATCGATATTTTATATAAACTTGAACCAAACCAAAAAAAAACTATGAACAAAGATTTTGCCTCAAATTTTGTGTTTCGAACCAAATTTCGAGTGCAGAACCATCGCCATGGTTTAAAAAGGCTTATGGTGAATCGATTCTATCGAAAACCCAAGTCTACGAGTGGTACAAACCTTTAAAGCTGTTCAAGAAACCGTCGAAGACATGCCTCCTTCCGGTCATCCTTCGACGTCTTCCACTGACGATCAAACGACATCAAAAAAGTGAAAGAAATCGTGCTCGAAATTCGTCATTCGAATGTTAGAGAGATAGCATCTAAACTACACATCGGCCGTGAAGCTGCTAGTTTGATTTTGACCGATAATTTGGACAATGCTCGGCTTGTTCCAAAAGAGTTGGATGCCAACAGACCATCGTTTAAGACCAAAAACTCGTTCAATACCATCGATCAACCACCGTATTCACTGCGACTTTTTTTTTGTTTCCAAAACTCAAGTTACCACTTCGTGGAACCCGTTTCGATTCGATTGAGGCCGTAAAAGGAAATTCGTTCGAGTAGTAAGATATAAAAGCAGATAAATGATAGAAATAGAGGCATAGTTTGAGGTACAGACAGAGATAAAAGCAGAGATAAAGATTGGATATGACACAGACATAGACATGGAGATAGATTTAGAGATAGAGATGGATGAAATTATAGAAAAAGATAAAGAGATAGTGATAGAGAAAGAGATGAAGTTTGAAACGAGTATGAGACGGAGATGGAGATAGAGTCTAGTATATCCATAGATATAAAGATATGAATAAAGATAGATGAAGACATAAATATCTAGAAGTATAGAAAGAGATAGAGATATTTAAGATATTGGTGGTGGATATAGATTTAAATATATAAATAGATATAGATAGATATATAAAAAGATTAGAAGATAAAGGTTCTGTTTTCAATACACATTAATTGTATTGCTTTTTATATATATAATACTAAAAATCCAAAAATTATGCTTTCGAATTTTTACTCCAAATTTAGGAAAACATTTTTCGTAATTTAAAAATTAATTTACTGGAAATTTTGATTCTTCGCTTGATTAAACAGTTTTGCTTACAGACAATTTGAATTGAGTTAAAGACAAAAATAATAATTTGTCATACCTAAAAAAAATGTCCACATATTAGCTTAAATTAAACTGTAATTAGATGCATAAATCACAAGCAAAAAGTAAAAAAAATCGTATTTCGTACCAAATTTAATTCAGCTCCTCGACTGAATTTAAATATGCGAATAATCTTTAGGCACTTTAAAACAAGGTCACAGCTGAAATTAGGGCAGCTTAACATTAATTGAGCATCTGGCCTCTGCTTCCTGCTGACGAATGTATTTCCCCGTAATTTCTTCAGCTTGGTAAACCTTGGCAAGCAGGCTTATGTGTTTTAGTGTGTGTGTATGTGTCTGCGCTTGTGTGTTTAATTTCACGCAAAAATTAAATAAAGTATCCATGCCGCACGCATAAGTACAACAAATGAATACAAATTAGGAATAATTAATCTCGAGCCTCGGCAAACTGCTTCGTCGGCGGAAACCTAAGAAACGAGAACTGTTTGAAGAGGGTGGCAAAGTGATGAAGTTAATTTGTGTTAAGAGCGCCAGACACCCACATTAAATGTGCTTAACCTCAAAGTATGGGCAAAACGGACACGATCGGCCGAGAATCGACGGCAGTTGTAGCCACTGAAGTGTCTTGCCTTTCTTACTATGTGGTCGGTCTATCATTTGCGGTGTTGTTTGTGTGAGAAGTTAATGCATACACTTGAGGCTAATCATAGACTATGGTGGGGGAGTGCCTACGGCATTCGAAGATATGCGAGTTTGCGTAATTGACAGGGGTGCCATGTATAAGCGTTGAACTTAATGTCAACGAATTGTGTGGCATGTCTTTCTATAGTCCACCTTTGTTGTCCTATCCTTTGGAATAATCATTTGGAATACTTCTATAAATAAGTATTTGTTTCATTTTCGAAGCTCAAGTTTCGAATCGGATCTATCCCGATACCTTCCTGAGATAACAGACTGACGTTTTAAAGAGATCGAAAGTCGATCTATATATCAAAATTTGAGGGACTAGTCCGCGTATCTACAGACGATATACACTATACAGGGTATAAAAACGTTAACTTCGGCCGCACCGAAGCTATAATACCCTTCATAGGCGCATTACTTGAAGCATAATAAGTTGTAAAAAAATCTTTATTTTGATTTTGATAAATTTATTTGTAATATAGTGGTTCGATATCGGCGATTTTGACAAATTTCTTTCTTCTTCTTATTTTTTCAGAATAGGATTTCTATGTGATTTTCCATGCGGAAATTTATCGGTCTGGTTACATAAATGAAAATTCTATTATCTTAAAATATATGTGGACCATTGTTTTAATAAGTATTGTCTAAATATTGGTCCAAGGGGGCACTACTCTTACCTACCTACCAAATAGCCTGAAAAGCTTTTGGTCTAACAATGAAAGAACGTTTTTTAAAGTGAAATTTGAAAATATGACTTTCTTTTTGACATGGATGATCCATCTAAGATAAAGCGTTTATTGTAATAGTCCTCCAAAATTTCGATACCGATTCGTTAGAGTGAAGATTCGCCTTAAAATGGTTGTTGGTTATTGATGCTCTAAAGATATGCTCTAATATTTTTTTAAACGCCAACTCCTTCGATAAAATACTCTTGTGATATTTTCATGCTCTCACACTAATTGCGAAACTCTTTGTGCTAAGCTTTTATTACTTTTGCGATGCACTGTATGAAAAAGTTTGTATAAATCGTTTGATAACACCGTTGGCTATAGTAGTTCAATAGCTCCACTTTTTTTGTAGCAAACAGCGTCATTTAATATGCCTTATATAAACTAAAAAATAACAACAAAGCTGCTTACAAATTAAACAAATTGTCCGTGGCACCAAAAACGCTTACGAAAATATTTACTTTTTTATCGCCGCTAAACAGGCAGGAGCATCTAGCAAGATTGACAAAATGACCACTAAAATGTGTTCAGCACACAATGACAAACGAACAAACCCTATTCGCTGACAATTTACTCCGCAACACTGCAACATTTTGATAAGTGACTACCACTCAGCGGATACAATAAAATCGCATTTCGCCAAGTGATGAGCAGTAACCACAAAAGCTTTGACTACGTCATCGCAACCACCTCGACAATGTGTGGCAAATGGGTATTTTTATTTGTTACTATTTGTACGACAATAAAATCAAGAGGAAAGAAATGGCAGGCAACAACAATACAGCTCAATAGAATAGCCACAGGCGGTGAGGAAAAGTAATTCCAGCAGGCAGCCAGTCAGTCTGGGCGCAGCTACTCCTTGAGTTCACACAAAATAGAAACGAATAGGAAAACTACATG